CCGGGAAACCGGGATACCGGGAAACCGGGAAACCGGGAAACCGGGAAACCGGAAAACCGGGATACCGGGAACCGGGAAACCGGGATACCGGGAAACCGGGAAACCGGGAAACCGGGAAACCGGGATACCGGGAAACCGGGAAACCGGGAAACCGGGATACCGGGATACCGGGATACCGGGATACCGGGATACCGGGAAACCGGGAAACCGGGATACCGGGAAACCGGGAAACCGGGAAACCGGGAAACCGAGAAACCGGGAAACCGGGAAACCGGGAAACCGGAAAACCGGGAAACCGGGAAACCGGGAAACCGGGAAACCGGGAAACCGGGAAACCGGGAAACCGGGAAACCGGGAAACCGGGATACCGGGAAACCGGGATACCGGGATACCGGGATACCGGGAAACCGGGAAACCGGGAAACCGGGAAACCGGGATACCGGGAAACCGGGAAACCGGGAAACCGGGAAACCGGGATACCAAGAAACCGGGATACCGGGAAACCGGGAAACCGGGAAACCGGGAAACGGGGATACCGGGAAACCGGGAAACCGGGAAACCGGGATACCGGGAAACCGGGAAACCGGGAAACCGGGAAGCCGGGAAACCGGGAAACCGGGAACCGGATTACCGGGATACCGGGATACCGGGAAACCGGGAAACCGGGAAACCGGGATACCGGGAAACCGGGAAACCGGGAAACCGGGATACCGGGATACCGGGATACCGGGATACCGGGAAACCGGGAAACCGGGAAACCGGGATACCGGGAAACCGGGAAACCGGGAAACCGGGATACCGGGATACCGGGAAACCGGGAAACCGGGATACCGGGATACCGGGAAACCGGGAAACCGGGATACCGGGAAACCGGGAAACCGGGAAACCGGGAAGCCGGGAAACCGGGAAACCGGGAAACCGGATTACCGGGATACCGGGATACCGGGAAACCGGGAAACCGGGAAACCGGGATACCGGGAAACCGGGAAACCGGGAAACCGGGATACCGGGATACCGGGATACCGGGATACCGGGAAACCGGGAAACCGGGAAACCGGGATACCGGGAAACCGGGAAACCGGGAAACCGGGAAACCGGGATACCGGGATACCGGGAAACCGGGAAACCGGGATACCGGGATACCGGGAAACCGGGATACCGGGAAACCGGGAAACCGGGATACCGGGAAACCGGGAAACCGGGAAGCCGGGAAACCGGGAAACCGGGAAACCGGGAAGCCGGGAAACCGGGAAACCGGGAAACCGGGAAACCGGGAAACCAGGAAACCGGGAGACCGGGAGACCGGGAGACCGGGAGACCGGGAGACCGGGAGACCGGGAGACCGGGAGACCGGGAGACCGGGAAACCGGGTAACCGGAAAACCGGGATACCGGGAAACCGGGAAACCGGGATACCGGGAAACCGGGAAACCGGGAAACCGGGAAACCGGGATACCGGGAAACCGGGAAACCGGGAAACCGGGAAACCGGGATACCGGGAAACCGGGAAACCGGGAAACCGGGATACCGGGAAACCGGGAAACCGGGAAACCGGGAAACCGGGATACCGGGAAACCGGGAAACCGGGAAACCGGGAAACAGGGAAACCGGGAAACCGGGAAACCGGGAAACCGGGAAACCGGGAAACCGGGAAACCGGGAAACCGGGAAACCGGGAAACCGGGAAACCGGGAAACCGGGATACCGGGAAACCGGGAAACCGGGAAACCGGGAAACCGGGATACCGGGAAACCGGGATACCGGGATACCGGGAAACCGGGAAACCGGGAAACCGGGAAACCGGGATACCGGGAAACCGGGAAACCGGGAAACCGGGATACCGGGATACCGGGAAACCGGGAAACCGGGAAACCGGGAAACCGGGATACCGGGAAACCGGGAAACCGGGAAACCGGGAAACCGGGAAACCGGGAAACCGGGAAACCGGGAAACCGGGAAACCGGGATACCGGGAAACCGGGAAACCGGGAAACCGGGAAACCGGGATACTGCGAAACCGGGAAACCGGGATACCGCGAAACCGGGAAACCGGGAAACCGGGAAACCGGGAAACCGGGAAACCAGGAAACCGGGAAACCGGGAAACCGGGAAACCGGGATACCGGGATACCGGGAAACCGGGATACCGGGAAACGCGGAAACCGGGAAACCGGGATACCGGGATACCGGGATACCGGGATACCGGGATACCGGGATACCGGGATACCGGGATACCGGGATACCGGGATACCGGGATACCGGGAAAATGACCGGAGACCGGGAGACCGGGAGACCGGGAGACCGGGAGACCGGGAGACCGGGAGACCGGGAGACCGGGAGACCGGGAGACCGGGAGACCGGGAGACCGGGAGACCGGGAGACCGGGAGACCGGGAGACCGGGAGACCGGGAGACCGGGAGACCGGGAGACCGGGAGACCGGGAGACCGGGAGACCGGGAGACCGGGAGACCGGGAGACCGGGAGACCGGGAGACCGGGAGACCG